AACCCTACTTAAATCAGGACAACAGATGAACAATCCTACTAAAATCAGGACAACATATGAACAACCCTACTAAATGCTAGCCTTGAGGCATCGTCCAAGTGGATCAAGTAGAAACAGTTTGTTTACATAGAGATAAGTATCACTATTTGTTTGGTGTAGCGTTTGAGTTTGTTACAGATTTGTAAGGTTTGTGTTCAGTTCATTATTAGGGTAGAGGTGGTTTTATCCTAAAAGTACGGAAAACTGTTAAGTATTTATGTTTAGATGCTTAGAAAATGAAATGCTACCATTAAAATAAAATTAAGAGTACGTAGGCCTATAGTTTAATTAACTAACTTTTTTTGTGAATTACTTACCGAAATAAATTTTTAAATTTGCAATAAACTTAAAGATTCCTAAAGATTCCTAGCGTATACCAGCACATGATAAATTTACCCTGCAAACATTTTAACCACTGTAACTGGTGAAAGAATTATTTAAACACTTTTAAAACGATAAGTCCCAACGTTACAGGAAATCAAATTTCTTTTATAACCTATCGTCACCCTCAATACTACATAGGCCTAACATTGTAATAATGGAACTGTTTCAACATATGTTTGTTTTGCTTAGTCGTTTGGATTTAATCATATACCAGATGTTTGAAACAGGTCGTTTGCATAAAATATAAAATTTGCTGTGTTGATCTTTTCAAATAATTTGTTTCGTACGCCCGCTGTAGGGTTATGTAGCTTTCTATGTTGAGCGGGGGGAGGGGATATTTGTATATCTTGGGGGAGAGGGTATTTGCATATCTTGAGGGGGGGGAGTTGCATATCTTCGGGAGGGGGTATTTGCATATTTAAGGGAGGGGGTATTTGCATATCTTGTGGGAGGGGTATTTGCATATCTTTGCTTATAAAATGCTGATACATCATGGGCAAATGGTGACTAAGCTCCTACAGCGTGTAGCAGAAAGTTAATTATATACATCAGTGAGGGTTCATTGACTAAATAGTGGCAACACCAGTGAACCAGGACACCAGCAAGTTAACTAAGACGGTGTTAGAATCTAGCACCAGTGATTTAAACAGTTCAACATGTTTTGGAATAATACGCTTGATTTATATTTTTCAAAATAATGCAACGATGCCTGATACCATTAAGGGGGGGATGAGGTTTTTTTTTGTACACCATTTTGTTATACTATTAGCCGTCACGGCTAGGCGTCGCACTGGTCTTTTACGTGCAACTACTCTGTAAATGGCCAGTTAATGTGCTGGTTAAAGCTTATTGTAGAATAGATCTAAAACACCTTTATTACCCAAAAAGTGATACATTCTGACAATATCAATACAATTCTTTGGTAATTCAATCAATTTACGAAAAACATTTAATAATGTATACATTATTTATTAATATACATGCGGTACTAACTACAGATACAATACAGAGTGAACTCTTTTATTGTAGTTTCTATGCAAGTTAAATATAGATTTAAATGTGAATATTTCAGTTACGCTAGCGTATGTCTTATATATATCCTTGCTGCAGGTTTGAATAGCATGTTAAGCCAGTTTTGCAAATTACTTAAAAACAAGCAACAAGCAAAAGGTATACAGATAATTTAACGAGTGATGCGCGATCTAGTAAATAAATCGATTACAAAAAACACAGTCGTCATAATTAGTTAATTCTTCTCTGTTGTCCAGATGATCAATATAACAGGTACGTCGTTTTATTATTAGAAAGACCGATGTAAGTCTAAGTGTTCAAATAAAATGAGGAATTAACTCGTCGTATAATTCATCGGAACATATGTGTTCCGCAAACATCAATAACAGAATGTAACATTACATATAGGTACAATATCTTGGTAAATTATATGTTACGGCAGTATTTTGCACTGAAGAAATTTATTAAAATAATAAACTTTTTAAATATAATAATATTCACATGATAATTTACAATACTGTAATGTATCTGAAATATTAAATTTAATCATTTGCAAGTGTATAGTTGATAAAAAGTATTGTAAATTTATTCTATATACGATAACTCTGATTAAATAAATATTTTATTTCTATACATTGGTGGGCTTTGCACGAAAGAAAGAACAAGGAAAAATAATTAGTATTTGAGATTTGGTACCAAGTTTAAAATTAAAGATTCTCCGAAGAAAATAAAAGATGTGTTAGTCAAATAATATCACACTTTGTAACAGTGTAACAAATATTTTCACCATAACAAGCTAAAATAGACATTGCAATTAGGTTTAAATCGTGATAAACATGTACATTGTCTGATCACTTTCAACTCAAATTACATGCTCCGTAAGCTTAAATGGAAGGTAATCAAATTTAACGCATTGTTGGAAAAATATCAGGAGTTGTAGCCCTTGACATAAAACAAGTTAATTAAAAAGTCTAGTGACATTTAAGCGCAATTTCCTTATGTTATCTAAAAATAGCTCTGTCGTAGCGTAAATCAAGAGCAGGGTTAGTAAAACCATTGGTTAAAATACATGTTTTATTTACAATAGAGTTACATGACTAAAAACCATTGCGCGCCTAGCTACTGAACGTGATGACGCAGCCATTGAACGTGATGGCGCAGCTATTGAACGTGATGACGCGTGTGGTGTGTTTGGATAAAAATGCCTAATAATTCGGTCCAAATTTTAATTAATTCAAAAATTTTTTTGTGACCGAACGAAAGGATATTTTTGAAAACTTTCTTCGGCAATATTGTTCTAAATTATGGCAGGAATCGATTGGTACATGTTTCAAGTCGCTATGTGGTCTGGTTGCCGAGATATGGGCAAAAAACTGCATTTTTTCGAGGTTTTTTCGCTTTTACGGGAAATCCATGAAAGAAACCCGGAATTTTTATGGCCTATGTTCATCCTTGTAACTTGCTTAACATATTTGCTTTGGAACTAGTCCTCGATATTGCTTCGTTGAGGAGGAGATACGACTTAAAGCTGCGGACACACATTCATACATTCATCCATCCATCCATCCATTCATCCATCCAGAAATGACGGGTTAATAAACGCAATTCTCCAGAATGGAAATTGCGCTAAAAATATTATAATAAACATTATACCAGTTACCAGCGTGGGTTGTAGCAAAACACGTTCAAAGGGTGTTGTCTTGCGGTGTGTTATTAAAACTTTTCTACTTGAACTACCAGTTTTAATAGCTGCAATAGACATCAATCCCAATAACGTGTGCTATGAAATATCAAACCATCTTTACCAGAAAAGGTCTGATGCTTCATATTATTAACATTCAATGTAATATTGGACACATTAGTAGTATATTAGGTAACTTTTGGACCGCAGGCGCAGGCGCATGTGCTGGCGGATGCGCAAAGGATATATAGTAAAATACTCGGATGCGCAGGGGGATGCGCAGGCGCATCCTGGTACAACGAGATATAGTAAAATACTCGGGATGGGGATGGGGAGCCTGGTACAATGAGATATAGTAAAATACTCCAGGCGCAGGCGCAAGCGCAGCAGCCTGGTACAATGAGATATAGTAAAATACTCCGGATGGGGATGCGGATGGAAATGGGGATGGGGATGCGGATGGGGGTGGGGAGGATGCGCAGGGATGCGGATGGGGAGTAGGTCAGTAGGTCACCACCGGTGACCTTGTGACGTAATCACCGCAGGTGACCTAGTTACGTAATTTTAATTAGTTTTTTAATTAGTTTAATTTTTTATTTTGACCCAGTTACGTAATTTTAATGAGTTTTTATTACGTAATTTGATTATTTGTTTGATTTTAATGAATTTAATTATTTTGTTTATATTTTGTAATTTTTAATTAGTTTGAATTTAATTTAATTACTTTGTTTATATTGTGTAATTTTTATTGACTAGTTACGTAATTTGATTATTTGTTTGTATTTTGTTTGTTTATTTTTAATTAATTATTATTTTTTAATTAGTTTAATTTTTATTGAGTAGATACGTAATTTGATTTTAATTTTTTAAAGTTTTTTAAATTTTTTTTTTTAATTTTTAATTTTTTTAAATATTTAAATTTTTAAAATGTTTAAATTTTTTACATTTTTAAATTTTTAAATTTTTAAATTTTATTTTTTAATTATTTTAATTTTTTAATTTTTAATTTTGTAATTTTAATTATTTTAATTAGTTTAATTATTATTAGTTTAATTTTTTTTAAACTTTTAATTTTGATTTTAATTTGTTTGTTGAATTTGTTGGTTTGTTTATTTGATTGTATGGTGTTTAAAATAAAAGACTAACACTAGCGTGTACTAGAACATTCTTTGTATAACATCCATTTAACCACAGCTGTTACTCGTTAGCGACAGCTGTTACTTATCGATCCGCCCGTGAACCTCCCCGGCGCTGCGCGTTTTTGAATGGGAATGTATTGATCGCAGCCACGCGGCCATCAAATGATAGCCCTCCTAATTAAATTTGGTCACGCATCATCGATTTATGTCGAGTTCGCTGAAGCGAACACCGCAGGGGTCCCGCGTTTAATCGAATGCGATGGGTAACGTTTATACTAGCGTCGGGGGAGTTTTGTTTTCAACAAGACAGGTTTCAAAGTCAGTCCATCCATGTCTTGGAGTTGGATGAGGGCCGTGTTCATACTAGGGTCGGTGAAGTTTTCCCGATGCAACATTGTTTTCTTCTTTACAAGTTCGCTTTGTGATTGTGTGTGTTTGAGTGTGTGTTTGTGTATGTGTGTGTGTGTTTGAGAGAGCTTTTTGGTTTGACTGAAAAAAGTTTGGTTTGCGGTGTGTAACAGACACCGATGTTTTGGCCGCGTAGGATTTCAAAGTTGGATGGGAAAGTTTTCACACCTTTTAATCAGCATTACAATAAATCACAAAAGAGCATTTAAATGTATATAAAAATTTTATTTACTTAAAACAACTCCTGTTAGTGTGTTGTGTGTGTGTGTGTGTCTGTGTGTGTGTGTGAATGTGTGAATGTGTGAATGTGCACCCCGTACAAAACGACAGTCTGGATAATGGCGTCGATGTTCCTCTTCTACCACATCACCTGTTTCCCAGCCCCTCAACGTATTCAAACAGAAAACGCACTTGACAAGGTCGCCAGGTCCAATGAAAATAAAACCATTTTTAGCCAAACTGATAGGGTCCACAGGGTAGACGTCGGACCAACACCCCGAAAATGTTTGCAACCTTTCCTCCTCATTATGGAACCTGAATTCACTGTCCCTGACGGAAGTTGGGTTGGGTGGTGACGGCGTCTCATCAAGGGGTTCAATAAAGGTTCCACCTGTCGACCGCTGTACAAACACTCTCTCATATCCTAGATTCATCTCCCCTTGATTAGTCTCATGAAAGGTACTGATCATCTGTACAGGATACAATCTCACTTCATCTGGTCCAATATCAAGACCAGTTTCCGTTTGCTCCGACATTCCCGTGCTCTCAGTGGAATCCCATCCACAGCACTGAAGACAAAAACATTCACCGGACATGGTATAGGGTTCTTATACTGCGGTGTTTATAGTATTCCCTGAATACTGTTTTACCACGCCTGGGTGGGCTACCCATCAATGCCGTAAAGAGCTGTTTCCAACTCGGATCCAGTATTTTAAATGGTTGATTTTGATTTCAGTCATACATCTTATACAGGATACCGAGTTACATAACTTTCAGGGACAAGTAACAAAACAATAACACACATCAAAAATAAAAAAAAGACCGTTTATATCATAAGTTTTTATTGAATAAAAACAACCCCATCACCATACCGTCATGGTTCTGTCTTATTTACATTAAAGTCTCGTTAAAGTCATGGTTGGTAAACTAGAGGGTCTTATATGTCTAGGGGAGATGTTGTCACATTGTCTGCGTCTACTCGTCTTTTAATGTAAAAGTAAGAAAGTGAGTTTCTGTGTTGGGTGTAAGTATATATCCCCGTGTTGTATGCTCTGAACCCTGTGTTTGTCCCACAACTTGGTTCCTTTGTTGTGAGGACCTGCATGAAAGATTCTTTGCCTAGTGTGTTGTGATTTTTAGATAATCCCTTGGTTGATGTTTTATTATAGTCGCCAAAACAGTGGTACGTCTTACTACATAAAGATACCATCCCATCCCCTTCATATTCTAATTTAAACAACCCCGGTGTTCTCTTTTCATAAATTTTCCTAGCCCTACACTCCAGACAATGACTATCTACCGTGCCTTTGCCGCTTATAAATAAGGGTCTATGTGAGTCGCATACTTCTGAGGGGAACCATTTATCGTAAATGTCAAAAAACTCGTGTTCTAGTCCCGGTCTAACGGCTTTTAACAAGTCATCGGTACTTAAGGCTAAGTATAAACTGTCAGTGTCCATCTCACAGAGCTGAAAGTCGGTTCTATCTATATATTTGTCTATAAAGTCATAATAAAATTCTAACATCCTAAGTTTCGCGTACTGATAAACGAAAAAGCCTATCTGAAGAGGGAGATCCCAAACTATCTTCTTTTTTAACGTTTCTACTTCGTAAACAGCGTCGGTAAGTTTTGTCATTTTTTAAAATCGTGGATTATTAATACAATCCCCTATATCCCTATCACTACAGTAGGTCATGTCCGCATGTTGTGTTTTATCCGTCAAAGTTTTACCATATGCCGCGTTTCCTAACAATTTCATTGTTTCACTCGTTATCGCGTATTTTTCGTCTATGTCCCCCTTTCTTCGCGCGTCTGAAACTGTATCCCCAAATGTCTTAAAACATGCAACCGGATTATATTCAACGACTTGATAAATTTTACTGACTACCAACCCATGATTTAAATACCACTTTAAAAGGGGGGTCGCTAATAAAATTTTCTCCCCTGTAAAGCTACCGATTAAAGTCCGTCTACCGCTAGTTAATAAGTTGTTATCGATCGCGTATTGTCTCATAAACGGTCCGATGTCATCCCGCGTAACGTTCGTATTTTTAAAAATAGGTGTCATCTCACTAAAATGTTCTCTTAAACTATCCGGTACTTTAATGTCGCATTCTATCAGACCAAAACACGAGTCGTCTAAAACAGAATCGATTATCTGTTTTTCAGTCAGGGGCCATTTCTTACCATAGGTCGGTGTCGGTGTCTTTTGTGATTTGTCAATAGATTTTAAATAGTCTTTAATAGTTGGGTTCATTTTTTTCTGGTTCCCCCACTCACATTCCCACATTTCTACGACTTTAACGTCAACAGTATCGTAATTTCGTTTGTCTTTTTAAATAACTCAGTCAAGGGTCTGTTACTAATAGAATTTACTGTTCGGTCTTTAGTTAAGGGGCAGTCGGGGTGTCCGTGAAAGAGGCAGCCATGGAACTGATAAACGGTTCGACTGTTCGCGTCCCACCCGTCTACTCTTATATGGCGGGATCCTAAGCTAACTTCGCCCCCGTTAAAATGCAGTTTTTAAAGTTACCCATTTTGTTTTTGAAACCCACGATAACCACTGAAAGGCCTGTTCCCCATAATGATTCGCTTTACGCGGTCTAAACCCCTCCTCACTATTTCTAATAATCGGAAATCCCGTCGGAATTTTTTGCATTAAAGACCATAAATAAAGCGCGTTCGCGTCGTACACCTTAATTGCCTGTACCACCTTTTTACTATTCCCCCTAATGAACGTTTCACCCTTTTCGTGATGTCTATGAAAAATAATGGAGGGGCCCCCTACGATATTATTTCGGATGGTTTTATGTAACTCTGATTCGCGCTCGGAACACAAAGAAAAAGAAACGTCTTTGGGCAGTGTTTTGAATAAGTATTTTAAGGTTACCCCCGGGACAGAAATCGCGTGTTTAAAAATATCAACCCCTAAATTTTTGTAAAAATTAGTTTGCTGCTCGAGCGCTTCGATAAACGGTTTTAAATCGATATTGTTATACCAAATAAGATAATCTTTAAAAGTTTGCATCCCCTTCTCTACCCAAATTGGCCTACACGTCGCGTACTCCTCGTCTGAAATGTTACAATTTTTTAATGATGAAAAAAAGGCCGAATGCAGAGGTTAAGACGTTTCATCTAAGACGGCTAAATTTTTGACATATTCGTACGGAAAAAATCCCTTGGTCTCTTTAACATTATACGCGGCGAGGTATTTACTATAGCTAAACCCAGGTGCTAGATAATTAACTATATCTAAGAACTTTAATTTATTTGTTGATATACACATACAATTATTATTTCTTTTAACTACATATTTAAACGGTGTTTGTTTATCTTCTACGTCGTCTTCATCATCGTTACAACTAGGTCCCTCTTCTAACCCTTCTTCTGTGTTTGAATAAGCTAAAAAGTACTGAATAAAATACGGTTTAACGAGATTTATATCATATTTTCCTGAATTAAACCCTATAACCGGCGTTTGTCGCGAATACTCATCTAATCTACCGCTAAGAAACCTATCAAACCCTTTGTCGTTCGACTTATTATCGCTACCCCTAGCTTTAGGTGGAAATAACTAACCCTAACCCTAACCCTAACCCTGATTTGCTTAAAAACATGTTCGAACTGTTTTCTCAAAATTCCATAAGCTGCCTCGGCGATTATGTGGAGTCTGTCAATAACTCTTGTCACTAATTCTTGAGGGTCACCAGTCGAAATAAAACAGATGGGTTCGAGGCTACAGAGCAAGACAAAGGCACGTGTTTGGCAACGCTTTTTGTAACTCTACCTAACGGCGGTAACTCGGTATGGTCGAAATAGCATTCGAAATCGTAAGTTGCTCGGAAGGGATAAACAAAGTTACTATCTATATCTACCCCATAGGACGCTAAAAACTCCCAGATTGTTTGGTGTGTCTGATAAACCCCTCCCTTATACCTATCTACGGGTTTCCCCCCATTACACCCTTTCACGTGTCTGTTCAATTGTTGAACGGTGGGCCATAATTTGTTACACACAGAACACGCGAAAGAGTGACCCGCCCCACCTATATTATTAATGTACATAAACTGATTTTGAAAAAATAAAAGATACACGGTCTCCCTAAACCTATCACTACTTCTAAGTTTCGGGGAAAGGATCTGGTTTTCGTTAAATTCAAAAATCTCTATATTTACACTAAAACACGACTCTAAGGGGGGGATTTTGACCAAACTAACCCCACTAAAATTATCCAAGGTCCCGAGACCTTGGTGCGCTTGCCACTTTTTCGCGAGATTTAATGTTGGCTTTCTAAGATCTGTTACGGGTGCTCCTAAATGTGTGGCTAAACATCTAAAAAAGGAGAAATTGTCTGTGTAGGGTTTTGCATGTGAATCCTTTTGTAACATGTTAATGGCGTGATTATGTTTAATAAAATCAGGAATGTCTGTGGGAAGGCATATGGGTAAAGATTTGTCTGTGGTCATGTGTAAGTCTACTGCATCTCCCCTTAGGTCGTCTACAGGAAAAATAGTGGTGTGTAAATTAACGTTACTGTCGATGTTAGTATTTACGCGTTTGTTGGTTGATATGTCGTCATACGTCCTTTGTCGTTTTAAGGGGCTAGTGTTGGTCGCGTTACGAGCTGTTTGGCTCGCTGTTGAGAGTTGGACAGTATGTGTGTCGGTCACCAATGTGGGTTGGTGTGTTTGTCTGTTGGTTGCTGATGGGGTGTCGCTCGGTGATGTTTGGTTGTTGTGTGCTGCCTTATAGTGGTTCGTTAAATTATATTTTCTTGTAAATACTTTCCCGCATGTTGTGCAGGGATGTCTTCCTCGACCGTGTGCTGTCTCTTGATGGCGTATGAAAAGTTGATTACGGCTGAAAACTCGGTCACAGATCTCGCATGTGAAGCGGGTCATGGCTGGGTGGCTGGTTGAATGGGCTGATTGCATTATTGTTTAGTGTGTGGAACTGTTGGATGCTTGGGTAGGTTGTTGGCTGTAGAATAAAAATAAAGTAATTACATAAAATAAAATACAGACTTAAAACAAAAAACTAGATTGAAAATTAAACGTACCTACGGGTTGGCTTGAACGTCTAAGTTCGATCTGGGGTTGTGTAGTTGGATGTGGATGGAACGTTTAGTTCAGTGGTAGCCTCGGGGATGGGTAGGTAGCTCAATAGGGTCAGTGGATGGCTAGTAGGGTCGGTTGTACACTAAAAAGAAATACACTTGAGTACTTATTTAGATACATATTTACTTAAAGCGTATTTTAATGGGGTTAGTTCCCTTAAAACAATTCATACTATTAAACTTACGTCGGTGTACGATACAAAAGTAAAGTAAATACATGTGAGTACTTATTTTAATAAGATTTGCTTAAAGGGTATTTTAATGGGGTTAGCTCCCATAAAACAAAAAAGTAATATTAAGCTTACCTTTAATTGAATAAGCACGCACAAAAGATGTGGTCCGTGGAGGGTTAGGTGGACGTATTGGTTGAGTCCTAAGCTGGCGTGGGCTAGTCTCTGGAGTCAACAGAGGTCTCAGGCAGGATAAGTCGCGGTGATGCTTGGTTTGAAGTCCTAAGTCGAATTGGTTTAGAACACAATTTTCGCGGTCATTTATACGGTTGCTCAGCCTAATTACAGCACCAGCTGTCACCACACTTAACGGAGAGAAATTTAATGGATCGCATTAATCAGCCTGAGCTGTCATATCGATCGGGAAAACCCATTAATGTGGTAACAGCTGTTGCGACACTTAACGGTAGCGTCGTGGATAACCACTTAACGCATTCGATTAAACGCGGGACCCCTCGACATAAATCGATGATGCGTGACCAAATTTAATTAGGAGGGCTATCATTTGATGGCCGCGTGGCTGCGATCGAGAAAAAACCCATTAATCTCCGGTCGGTACCTGTCAAAAAGCAAAGGATAGCGGATCGATAAGTAACAGCTGTCGCTAACGAGTAACAGCTGTGGTTAAATGGATGTTATACAAAGAATCTTCTAGTACACGCTAGTGTTAGTCTTTTATTTTAAACACCATACAATCAAATAAACAAACCAACAAATTAAACAAACAAATTAAAATCAAATTAAAAGTTTTAAAAAATAAATTAAACTAATAATAATTAAACTAATTAAAATAATTAAAATTACAAAATTAAAAATAAAAATTTTAAAATAATTAAAAATAAAAATTTAAAAAAATAAAAAATTTAAAAAATTAAAAATTTAAAAAAATTTAAAAAATTTAAAAAATTTAAAAATTTAAAAAAATAAAAAATTTAAAAAAATTAAAAATTTAAAAAAATAAATAAAAAAAAACTTAAAAAAATTAAAATCAAATTACGTATCTACTCAATAAAAATTAAACTAATTAAAAAATAATAATTAATTAAAAATAAACAAACAAAATACAAACAAATAATCAAATTACGTAACTAGTCAATAAAAATTACACAATATAAACCAAGTAATTAAATTAAATTCAAACTAATTAAAAAATACAAAATATAAACCAAGTAATTAAATTCATTAAAATCAAACAAATAATCAAATTACGTAATAAAAACTCATTAAAATTACGTAACTGGGTCAAAATAAAAAATTAAACTAATTAAAAAACTAATTAAAATTACGTAACTAGGTCACCTGCGGTGATTACGTCACAAGGTCACCGGTGGTGACCTACTGACCTACTCCCCATCCGCATCCCTGCGCATCCTCCCCATCCCCATCCGCATCCCCATCCCCATCCCCATCCGCATCCCCATCCGGAGTATTTTACTATATCTCATTGTACCAGGCTGCTGCGCCTGCGCCTTGAGTATTTTACTATATCTCATTGTACCAGGCTCCCCATCCCCATCCCGAGTATTTTACTATATCTCGTTGTACCAGGATGCGCCTGCGCATCCCCCTGCGCATCCGAGTATTTTACTATATATCCTTTGCGCATCCGCCAGCGCCTGCGCCTGCGCCTGCGGTCCAAAAGTGACCTAATATACTACTTACATTACGGTTGTCGTGAAAATAAGTGGAACCCTTCTAACATCGAATCGCTACTTTACTGGTAGTACTGTTAATACATTCAGACTACTGTTAAGGCTTTAGTCATTGCTGGGGTAGGTAAGTTCTAGCTTAATCACGCAGTATTAATTAATAATTAATATAATGTATAGGTGAACTTTGAATCTATATATATATATAGGTTAAAATTCAGTTTGCAGAGTGAGTTGAAGTTGTTTGTAAATCGGTTAGGTTTGAATTCGTAATAAGTATTAAGTCTTGTGTATGTGAGGTTTATCAAGCTGCGACGCGCGTTTAATTAAAAAGTTGAATCGATTTTCTGTAGCTTTGATACATACATCCATTTAATACTCCGACAATACATAGAGATCACATTCTTTGTTATTATTTTCAAATAACGGTGTAACATCTACAACAATGTAACAACAACAACAGTGTAACACCTACATTAGTGTAACACCTACAACAACAGTGTAACACCTACAATTGTGTAACACCTACAACAACAGTGTAACACCTACAACAGTGTAACAACTACAACAATGTAACACCTACAACAACAGTGTAACACCTACAACAACAGTGTAACACTTACTAGAACAGTGTAACACCTACTACAACAGTGTAACACCTACTACAACAGTGTAACACCTACAACAACAGTGTAACACCTACAACAACAGTGTAACACCTACAACAGTGTACCACCTACTACAACAGTGTGACACTTACAACAACGACAGTGTAACACCTACAATAGTGTAACACGTTCAACAACAGTGTAACACTTACAACGACAGTGTGACACCTACAATAGGGTGTCATTTATAACAACAGTGTTACAACTACAACAATAGTGTTACATATACAAGAACATAGCTAAACCTACAAAAACAACAAAAGTGTAACACCCACAACAGTGTAACACCTACAACAACAGAGCAATACCTACAAAACAACACAAGTCGAACACCTACACCACCTGAAACCCACCACGGCACTGGTCTGTGTTTTTGTTCAGTGAAGCGTGACGCTGAAAATATTTATGCTGATCGCGCAAGTGTGAAAAAGAAGAAGGGCGGAACTAAAGTGCGGAAGGCAGCCGCTATATACGGCAGAACTAAACGTGCGCCATAAGATATTGCGAGAAATTTTATTTTATATGCGGACTTTAATTTTCGTTATATAATTTCACCAAATGAAAAACATTGTAAATCAGGTATTAAATCCTAACACATTGGTTGTGTACTGTTGCTGCCCTGTACTCCACAGGGAGTGACGAGGATCAAGTAAGTAAGTGTGTACAGGCTTGCGTTCGTGTGTACAGGCTAGCGTTCGTGTGTACAGTCTAGCGTTCGTGTGTACAGTCTAGCGTTCGTGTGTACAGGCTAGAGTTCGTGTCCATTGACGTCGCCACTTGTTTGACTACTGAACACTTCTCACCGTATGTCATTTTCTTTCTGCTATCGACGGTAGGAACTTATTCCCCTTTTTGCCCATGATGAATCATCACGTTTTCTGCAATAAAATGCTCCCCCCTCCCCAGAGTAACCCGCGCCGCTGTAAAGTGGGCGTACCATTAGTACCGACTAACCTAGGTTAAAAGATCAACAACTTACTGTAGACTTTGCCCCCCCCCCCCCCCCACCCCCCGAAGAGATGCCTGGAAGAAACTCTGTTCTCAAATCTTACTTAAATTGAGTGTCATGCAGTTTTAAAATCTATCCAATCACATTACCTGGATAAAATACTGCACCCTTCGAATAATGACAAAAAATTATTGTATGTATTTAGGGTCCAGATCTAACCAAATGTCTGTGTCATTCTTTGATGATCTCGTTATTTTGTCAGTTGAAGGCAGCTGCAGAAACCATGGGAAACAACAGAAGTGTACATGAAGAACCGTTGACACAAACACAGTACACACACCTGGACGAGAAGAGGAGGTAACCCTGATTGAAATTAGCCAATATATATATATATATATATATATATATATATATATATATATATATATATATATATATATATATATATATATATATATATATATATATATATATATATATATATATATATATATATATATATATATATATATCAGGGGCGTAGCGAGGGGGGGGGGCGGGGGGTGCGGACCGCACCGGGTGACACCATTAAGGGGGGTGACACCAAGGCAAAAAATAGCAAATTATACAGAGAAAAACTTGAGGGGGGGGGGGGGTGCAAATAAAAAACTTGGGGGGATGGCACCATTAAGTGCCGCACCGGGTGACACCCGACCTCGCTATGCCACTGATATATATATATATATATATATATATATATATATATATATATATATATATATATATATATATATATAATTATCTTCTGGAAGACGCTAGAAAACAAGCTGTAAGCGCGCTCCCTACCACCCCCACCCCTACATGGTCTTAGTGAGCTGTGTTCACTCTAAATGTTTACAAGCAGAGCCGGGGTTAGTGACGACTATTAGGGGCAGATAATTTAGTTTGAACCGATTTTAAACGTAGGGGGAGGGGGTAACTAAGTGGAGTTCACTTTAACGGAGGGGGGGGGGGGGGAAGGAGGGGGGGGTATCGTCCTAAACGAGCTACTTATAGTGTTTTCAACCAAATATTTTCAGTGGCAGCGTTGGTACTGTCGAATTCACAAAATTATGAATTACTGAAAAGTAGAAAAAACTAAATAGCGGCGTATGATATGCCGCGGGCCGGCTCGTTAATTATATTTTAATTAGTTCACCAAAGCCACATTGAGCTAATTGAAACCTAATCTAACCAATCAAGTCGTAGTTGTGAAATAAAATAAAAAAACATCTCTAAGCGTGTAGTTTATCTGCCACCAGTACGACCCTCTTGATAAAATCAACAAAACGAATGATCAAGACAAGACTGGACGATATAAGGTCACACGGTACGGCTAACCACCGACGTCATAAAGTCACACGGTGCCGCTGACGACATAAGGTCTCACGGTACGGCTAATCAACAACGAAATAAGGTCACACGGTACGGCTATTCAACAACGACATAAGGTCACACGGTACGGCTAACCAACAAGACTATTATCTCCAGGTATCTGGCGATGCTGAAGGAGAGAGAGGACCTGGTCTGGGAGCAGTCTCAAGATGACGTCACTGACACCGAATTCATTGAAGTCACAGGTTAACTGTAGCCCTAAAACATCAACGTTTTAGATTAAGTTTTTAGATTAAGTTTTTAGATTAAGTTATTAGCAAAATTAGAAAATTTTAAAATATTTTCAAAAAAAATGTTTTTATAGAGACCCCACCGAAATACGCGGAAATTCTTCCCGAAGACTTCCTGTTTCCATTCGAGAATCTGATCTTTGAGGGAGGTGGCAACAAGGGACTCGCCTATGTAGGTGGTATAAAGGTGAGGATAGATTTCCTTCTGGCAACAGTCTATGTGGGATATTTATCCCACTTATGAAACGTTCTTTCTGGTTTTTGTTCAAACCTTGCAAGCTTCTGTTTGGGCATGTTTTCTATTTGTGAAAACGTTCGTTCGGGCATTTTTCCCAATCAGTGCAAATATCCATTCGGGCATTTGTCCAATAAATGCAAAAGTCCATTCGTGCAAGTATCATTAGAGCATTACTCGTAGAACCCATTAGAGAGTTGCTGATATGATATTTTTGAAACTGTGTGGGGTGCAGAGTTTAATTAAAGACAGTTACTTGTTTAGGATTGACATGCATTAGTTTGATTAATGATTGATAACTTCCAAAAGTTCTTGAACTTTGTACGTGTTTCAGTACTTGGAGGAAATAGGAATGATGCCACGAATTCGAAGATTTGGTGGAAGTAGTGCAGGGGCAATAACCGCAACACTGGTAGCCCTGGGTTACAGTTCCTGCGATATAGAAGTTTTCATGTCTGATGATCTTGAGGAGATATTTTTAGGTGAGTTCCTGACGTACTGTAGGACTTTAAGGTCCTGTGTCTGACGACATTGCGCCTAGCTAGACCATTGACGAGAAGTTGTAGATTGCAGAAGAAACTTATTTAGCCATTGTTAAATTACTAAACAAATGTATACTTTGCTGGTCAAACTACCACTAACGTGATATGTTCTGGTATCGTCTCCATCCCAGACCACTCCTGCGGGTACTTCAGTCTTCTGCCCAACCTCCTGAGCAAGTTTGGCTGGAATCCTGGCGACAGGTTTTCTGATTGGTGCGGTGACATGATCAAAGAAAAGTCTTCGACAGCGAACCCCGACATGACCTTCTATGATGTAAGAAAAGTTTTCGTTGTTTAGAGAAATCTTCTTTGCTGTTATTTGTTTTACGTTTAATCTAGCTCTGTTTAACCCCCTCTAACCCCAATGACCCCATCTAACTCCCTCTAACATCCTATAACCCCATCTTGTCCCGTATCCAACTCTACGCTGTGCAAAGAACGTAGGCTGTTGCAGTGTATTGTTCTTACCAACCAAACCCACCATAACCCTAACTCAACCCATCTTAACCCTAACCCAACCCATGTCTACAGTTGTACAAAGAACGTAGAGTGGAGCTGTGTATTGTGGTCACTTATTCTAATCAACCTTGACCCTAACCCAACCCATGTTAACCCAACCCAACCCTACCCATGTCTACAGTTGTACAGAGAACGTAGAGTGGAGCTGTGTATTGTAGTCACCAATCTGAACCAGATGAGGAGTGAGTACTGCCACCCCAAAACTACACCGGATATGCCGATAAGGGAAGCAGTGCGCATGTCAATGGCTTTGCCAGGTCGGTTGAGGTTTTTATAAGAAAAAAAAATTAACAAGTATATATAAACGCGTTTCATCAACCAAGAACTAAAACTAAATAGAGTAAATATAAAAATAAATAGGTAAGTCGAGAACAAATCCGGAAAAACGTGACATGCTCAAATACATCAAATTTGAAAACAAACAATCTTGTAATAATATGCTTTTAAAAAGTTGTAGAAATAAAATATAAAAAAATAAAATAAATTTGATGTGAAAGAATTCGACGCTAAAATAGTTAGTTTTTACTTTCTCGATTATACGAAGTATAGAGAAAGTCTTGTAATCGTGCAAAAAAAATAAAAATCGAGATTTTATCAAATATCGACGTTTTACATCTCACTGATACGGAAAAACATAATTTTGCAATCTTGTCCGTATGTCTGTGTGTCTGTCTGTGTGTCTGTCTGTGTGTGTGTAAACACGATAACTTGAGTACCGTTACAGCTAGGTTGATGAAATTTCATATATAACTATTTTATCAAAATCGTAGATCCGTATCAACTTTTGTGCAATTTCCAATGACCGGAAGTGGTACTTTTTCTATTTTGAATTTTTCAAAAGCCTATCTTCTTCTTCTTCTTCGTTCTTAATTTTTGAATATGGTGGAGGATTCAGACAACAAGTCCAACTTCGTGGACAAACCGGACTGTGGTCTCCAGTTTGTCAGGTGTCCCATATAATTTTTCCCTGAGTGGGGTGGGCTTGGGCCAGTGTCTGACTCTTGCCTGGCTATATATATGTGTTGATTTAGTCTGTTGTGGCCTGTTCTAAGTCGAAAGATTATGTATTGTTGTTTTCGTGTTAAATTGTAATAGCCGTCGTCTTTAATGTAGTGAGGGTGTGTGACAGACCACATTTGCGTTTGTTTGTTTTTTATTATTCTTTTTATGGCTTTTGGGTGTAGCGAAATTTCCGGTTGTGGTTTCTTTCCCCCAATTTTAGCCAGCTGGTCTGCGATCTCGTTACCCTGGATCTGGCAGTGGCGCGGGATCCACTGCAGCACAATTCTGCTGCAGGTATTTTTTAGCCTCTCTAGTGCTGTCATAAGTGTTTGAATATAGGACTCTGGATTTTGTAAGGATTGCAGGACGGATTTGGCATCTGTAAGAAATACAATCTGACTATTCGGTGATTCAGGGTGTTCTGACAGGAGGTTTGATGCGTGTTCTAAAGCTTCTTTTTCTGCCCTAAAATTGTCGGATAGGCTGCCTGTGGCTATTGCCTTTTCCAGGCTTTCTCCGCTTGGCCATTCAATTAGGATGCCAGCCCCGCCATTTGTTGTGGCATCTTCAGCTGAGCCATCTGTGAAAACTCTAATCCAGGTGTTGCTGGGGTACTGATCCTTAATGTGTTTATTTGTTATTTTCTTAAGTTCTTCTAGATCATAGTCAGATTTTTTTCCTATGGTGTCTATTGAGTCAATAATGGTTAAGTGACAGTGGGAGATCCAAGGCGGGGAGAGGTTTTGAGTTTTTATTGCTTCAGGAATGATATTTTCGATTTCATATTTCTTTTTCAGATTCTTTGCTTCTTTGATGAAACTTGTTCTTTGTAGTCTGGTTGATGGACTGGGTTTCTGGAGTTTTTGTTTTAGGTTATGTTTTTCCAGTGCCTCTAGCTTTGTGTATTGAGTGAGGATTTTTGATTCTCTTCTTTCTTCTATTGAGCTAAGAGCGGCTATTTCCTCCATAGCTTTTATCGGTGTTGTTTTCATGGCTCCTGTCATTATTCTCAAACCAATGTTCTGAACTTTGTCAATTTTGCTAATTTTTGTTTTTGCTGCTGAGCCCCAAGCCGAAGCGCCATATTCTAACGTAGGTCTCACATAGCTGGTGTAGGTTTTTTTCAGGATGTGGTGATTTGCTCCCCAGTCTGTTCCTGCCAGTTTCCTCATTAGATTAAGTCTTTTGAGCCTATAAATTGAGTACTATTTCAAATAGATAAATGAAATTTTACATGTAAGTAAAAGATCTAATTCCCTACCTTCTGTCAAGTTTTGAGTAATTTCCGTTGAACGGAAGTACTAATTTACGCTATTTCCGATTTCTCAAAAAAACGCATGTAAATTTATAAAGTACTAATAATATTGCGCACTATTATGCACATTTTATTTGGCGTTTACTTGGTGTGCAACTCTTTTGTCTACGAGATTTTATTCTATTTTTTAAAACTAAGTATTTAAAATTGATTAAAAATCATATCTATAGCCCGAGTTCCCATCCCCTGTTATTTTACATAAGAATATTCGAGAAAGTTTAGGGGAGATCACTCCCGGTTTATTTTTTTTTACTTTCTCGTATATACGAAGTATAGAGAAAATCTTGTAATCGTGCAAAAAACAAAAATCGAGATTTTTACAAATTTCGACGTTTTACACCTCACTGATACGGAAAAACATAATTTTGCAATCTTGTCCGTATGTCTGTGTGTCTGTGTGTCTGTCTGTCTGTCTGTCTGTCTGTCTGTCTGTCTGTCTGTCTGTCTGTCCGTGTGTAAACACGATAACTTGAGTACCGTTACAGCTAGGTTGATGAAATTTCATATATAAGTATTTTATCAAAATCGTAGATCCGTATCAACTTTTGAGCGATTTCCGATAACCGGAAGTGGTACTTTTCCTACTTTGAATTTTTCAAAAGCCTATAACTTGAGTACTATTTCAGATAGATAAATGAAATTTCACATGTAAGTAAAAGATCTAATTCTCTACCTTCTGTTAAATTTTGAGTAATTTCCGTTGACCGGAAGTAGTAATTTACGCTACTTCCAATTTCTCAAAAAACTCATGTAAATTTTTAAAGTACTAATAATATTGCGCACTATTATGCACTTTTTTTTATTTAGCGTTCACTCGGTGTGCAATTCTTTTGTCTACGAAATTTTATTCTATTTTTAAAATTTTAAGTATTTAAAATGGATTAAAAATCATTTCTATAGCCCGAGTTCCCATCCCCTGTTATTTTATATAAAAATATTCGAGAAAGTTTAGGGGAGATCACTCCCGGTTTAATTCTGTGTGTAAACACGATAACTTGAGTACCGTTACAGCTAGGTTGATGAAATTTCATGTATAAGTATTTTATCAAAATCGTAGATCCGTATCAACTTTTGAGCTATTTTCGATAACCGGAAGTGGTACTTTTTCTACTTTGAATTTTTCAAAAGCCTCTTACTTGAGTACTATTTCAGATAGATAAATGAAATTGCACATGTAAGTAAAAAGTAAAAAATCTAATTCTCTACCTTCTGTCGAATTTTGAGTAATATCCGTTGACCGGAAGTACTACTTTACGCTATTTCCGATTTCTCAAAAAACGCATGTAAATTTATAAAGTACTAATAATATTGCGCACTATTATGCACATTTCGTTCTGGCGTTCGCTTGGTGCGCAAGACTTTTTTCTATGAGATTCTATTCTATTTTTAAAAGTTTAAGTAATTAAAAGTCATGTCGATATTCCAAGTTATGTAAGAATATTCGAGAAAGTTTAGGGGAGATCACCCCCTGTTTATTAAATTAAAGATTATACATAATTGCTGTATTAGCATTACGTAAATGAATAGTAAATGAATGGTAAAAGTACAGATTAAAAGTACAATAATATCCTGATCAGATTAATAAACTCACTAAATACCCTAATTTAAAGGAACGAAAATTAATTGCAATCGCAAATTAAGTTTTTAATATTTTTTTCTTTGCAAAAATTTAATTGCTTTATTTGATTTTTGTTTTTGTTTTATCTCACCTGAAAGGTTTATTTACTGCCCGTTTCTATGACAACCACGGTCGAATGGACACGTATGTTGATGGTGGTCTCCTGTGTAACTACCCGATACACTGTTTTGATGGTCAGTTGTGTTACCTTCGTGTATCTTGTCCATGCGTTAGTTATAGAGATTTGTTTTTCGTTCACTCTTTTGAAGATACTATTTAAATAATGAGTTTGTTTCTATTATTAGAAGCTTTTATTTAACTTACTTTTTCTGTCTATCTGTCGCCATGAATCGAAACTGGTGAGCAAAATTTAGATAATTTCTAAAAGACCAATTTCTAAAAAACTTGACACATGGGTCAAAATCCAATGACAATACATCACGCATTTGAAAAATTCCTATTAGCTAACAAATTGCATCTGTCACATTGCTTTGAAGAAACGTCTAATAATAAATTTTAACATGTTAAAGAAACAATCCTGTAGAGTTTCTTCACTTTGAGAATGTCGCAAATCTTCTTTTTTTTTTCATGATCCAATCAGAAAGTAAGATTACTTACTTATTTAATCCTCATCACTCCCTGTAGAGTATAGGGCAGCAACAAATCTCCGCCATTCCGCTCTGTCTTGGGCGAGCCACTTTAATTCATGCCATTTCTTGCCAGTAGCCTGCACTTCTTCTTCCATCTCTCTCCTCCATGTTCCCAGTGGTCTTCCTCTCTTTCGCTTTCCAGGCGAGTCCACTTCAGCGCCATGTTGGGGAGCCTTCTTTTGCTCATGCGTAGGACATGGCCCAGCTATCTCCATCTCCTCATTCGAACTTCTGAAACAATGTCGTATCAATGCATTTTATTTATTCCAGGGAAACAACCAAATTGGTTCCTACTACCGGCAATGAACACACTCAATTTCTTCCATTATCCTGCACCTACCCTGCACTACATATCTATTTACTTTTACCCCATACTAAACGACAATCCTGTCATCTATTCCAGGGTGGTGCCTATCAATGGCTAAAGAAGATTCGTTCATGCACCGTGTGAAATCTCTGAGAGAGTTACCGTACTTGAAGTCTCAGTTCTTTCAACCACCAAGTAACAAAACAGTGGGGTTTCTTGTGGTAGGTAGATGTACAGTGGGGTTTCTTGTGGTAGGTAGATGTACAGTGGAGTTTCTCGTGGTAGGTAGATGTACAGTGGGGTTTCTTGTGGTAGGTAGATGTACAGTGGGGTTTCTTGTGGTAGGTAGATGTACAGTGGGGTTTCTTGTGGTAGGTAGATGTACAGTGGGGTTTCTTGTGGTAGGTAGATGTACAGTGGGGTTTCTTGTGGTAGGTAGATGTACAGTGGGGTTTCTTTTGGTAGGTAGATGTACAGTGGGGTTTCTTGTGGTAGGTAGATGTACAGTGGGGTTTCTTGTGGTAGGTAGATGTACAGTGGGGTTTCTTGTTGTAGGTAGATGTTAAACCACCCAGTTAAATACAGTGGGATTTCTTGTGGTAGGTAGATGTACAGTGGGGTTTCTTGTGGTAGGTAGATGTACAGTGGGGTGTCTTGTGGTAGGTAGATGTACAGTGGGATTTCTTGTGGTAGGTAGATGTACAATGGGGTTTCTTGTGGTAGGTATTTTTAATCCCTGGCAGATCCTCAACCAATGGTCTTGCGACCGTGAGGATCCTTGATAGATCCTCAACCAATATTCGTAAGACTTTTGAGTTATTTCCCCTAAATCTGAGTTGTATTTAATCTCGGGGTTTTCATGTCTAAAGGCAGCCAGATTGACCTTTGGACCAGGAAAGTTGTGCCGGTGGTTATGTGCGCCACCTTTCAGTATTGTAATTTTGTGACATGTTTATTACCTTTGTATAAGGTATTGTGTGGCAAGTTATAGTATTTCTAATATTTTGTTCTGGTGTATTATTGCACCATTTTGATTACTTCGCTGATAGTTTGACCTTTATTTGGATTTCTATTGTTGTAGAGGCAATACGTCTCTTCTTGGTTTTTTTGTGGTAATTATGATGCCATTCAGTTGTGTGAAGTAATGATCTTTATTGGTGTATAATATACTAAGCCACAGCTGTGATACATTGTGATTTTCTTAAACTGTAAGTTGGAGTTTTTAAGTTTATTTATTGTACTCTTAAAGTCTATTCATTTTGTACTGACCTAGTGTCATAGCTTGTACATTTATTAAAAGGGTATTGATAGTTTAAGTCGTGTTGAGTCTCTTCGATTTGTCGTGTTTTACCCCTAGACGAGCTCACGGCAAGTTGTTGGGATTCCATTAGTGTGACTTCTGTCAGTACCATACCAAACGAACCCGGGGTGTCCGCTCCCTCCGCGGCTGTCGGAGAGCGGTCATTACAATGTACAGTGGGGTTTCTTGTGGTAGGTAGATGTTAAACCACCCAGTTAAATACAGTGGGATTTCTTGTGGTAGGTAGATGTACAGTGGGGTTTCTTGTGGTAGGTAGATGTACAGTGGGGTTTCTTGTGGTAGGTAGATGTACAGTGGGGTTTCTTGTGGTAGGTAGATGTACAGTGGGGTTTCTTGTGGTAGGTAGATGTTAAACCACCCAGTTAAATACATTGGGATTTCTTGTGGTAGGTAGATGTACAGTGGGGTTTCTTGTGGTAGGTAGATGTACAGTGGGGTTTCTTGTGGTAGGTAGATGTACAGTGGGGTTTCTTTTGGTAGGTAGATGTTAAACCACCCAGTTAAATACAGTGGGATTTCTTGTGGTAGGTAGATGTACATTGGGGTTTCTTGTGGTAGGTAGATGTACAGTGGGGTTTCTTGTGGTAGGTAGATGTACAGTGGGGTTTCTTGTGGTAGGTAGATGTACAGTGGGGTTTCTTGTGGTAGGTAGATGTTAAACCACCCAGTTAAATACATTGGGATTTCTTGTGGTAGGTAGATGTACAGTGGGGTTTCTTGTGGTAGGTAGATGTACAGTGGGGTTTCTTGTGGTAGGTAGATGTACAGTGGGGTTTCTTGTGGTAGGTAGATGGTACATTTAAACCATCCAGTTAAATGTAGGGGGATTTCATGTGATCTGTCTTTAAAACCACCAAATTACAAAACACTGATATTCTTGTAGTATAATCAAAATTATTATTGATATTAGTATGTTAATTTATTCCAGTTTGATGAGTAAAGTGTGATGTTTTTCCCACTTTGATGAGTAAAATGTGATGTTAGTTAGATGAGTAAAGTGTGATGTTTTTCCCAGTTTGATGATTAAAATGTGATGTTTCTCTTAGTTTGGTGTGTAAAATGTGATATTTTCCCCAGTTTGATGAGGAAAATGTGATGTTAGTTTGATGAGTAAAATGTGATGTTTTCCCCAGTTTGATGAAGAAAATGTGATGTTAGTTTGATGAGTAAAATGTGATGTTTTCCCCAGTTTGATGAGTAAAATGTCATGTTTTTCCCAGTTTGATGAGTAAAATGTCATGTTTTTCCCAGTTTGATGAGTAAAATGTCATGTTTTTCCCAGTTTGATGAGTAAAATGTGATTTTAGTTTGATGAGTAAAATGTGATGTTAGTTTGAGGAGTAAAATGTCATGTTTTTCCCAGTTTGATGAGTAAAATGTCATGTTTTTCCCAGTTTGATGAGTAAAATGTCATGTTTTTCCCAGTATGATGACGTAGAGATGGAGATCATGAGGTACAGACTAGAACACAGATACGGCTGTAACGAACCAGCAACTCCAAGTAAACAAACTAAATTGTTTGAGTGAGTTGTTTCCCTTCTTAGACAATTCTAAGTTATCTTCCTTGTTATTCGTATAGTGGCTTAAATCGCTAGCTATTTCACCTTTTAAAAACAGGCTATTGTCAGTGGCGGAACTAGAAAAAAAGGGCCACCCCGCGAAAAAATATTTTAGCCCCCCCCCCATATATATATATATATATATATATATATATATATATATATATATATATATATATATATATATATATATATATATATATATATATATATATATATATATATATATATATATATATATATATATATGTATATATAAACAAAAAATACGAACCTAGGATACGCATAGCTGGCCTATTCGGGTTTGGATAAAAATGTTTTTTTTTCAATTACAACAAATTACATCATGTCATGTGTGTAAGTGCATCAGTGTGGTTTTGTGAAAATGAGTTTTAACTGTGCTTTAAGACCACTTAACGTCTAGTCCAGGGGTCTCCAAACTTTTCAGCCCGAGGGCCGCATTAACTATCAAATATAAGTTCGGGGGCCAGAGTTTCTTTTCAGGTATATCATTGGGGTGGCATTTTTCAAAAGCCACCTACAACAAACATTTTTTCCGTGGACAAAAATATCTCCGAGGGCCGGATGAGATGACCTCGCGGGCCGCATCCGGCTCGCGGGCCGTAATTTGGAGACCCCTGGTCTAGTCGGTCAAAAGGATATAAACCATGAAAGCTTTGTATAAGTAATGGTGTTTCGTGTTATGTTTATTTTGTTTTTTTTTTAAATTTAAATTATTCATTTTAAATACATTTCCTTTTTATACAATGTTATTCTTTAGTAAGTACTTTAAAAAATAATAATAATTAAGAAAGGTAATTGCTTTTTAATTTGTTTAGTACAAATCTATTAATATGAGCTTATGAGCACCACTATTTAAATATTTAAAAAAGGGAAATTAGTCATGGAAGTCTGCTTATCTTTGATAAGTTTGATCGTAGGAGAAAGAAGACTCGGCTTTCACAGTGGTTTAAAAACAAAAGGAAAATAGAATATACAAGAGCGTTGGGTGGTGTCTATAGAATAAAGATAATCCAATTGCAGCTACGGTAATCTTTTTTACAAAACAACCATGAAGTCAAAAATGCAAGTGGATTATTTTTTTTAAGTATAAAATTTTTTTTATGGTCGGCTGTGGGCCCCTAAATGGCATGCCCCCCCCCCCCCCCCCCGCATTGAGGGGTCTGGCGGCAATGTAGTTCCGCCCCTGGCTATTGTTCTTTTGTTTTCTATCGTATGTGCAAATTCAGGGCTTTAAGTAAGTTTAAATCTATTCTAGATTAAAATTATATTATTATTTTAGAATTTAAGTTAAACTATTATTGAGTGCTTAAATAATCGTTTGTTTCTTCCTCATCTTTTTTTTTCTTTCTTTCTTTTTTTCTTTCTGTCGTGTTTGTCTATGTAGACTGACTCGGCGCCACTGATATTTTTTCTGCTATATTCTCCACCCTGCACTCAGCCATCCTCTGCTTTAACCCCCCCCCACCCTGCACTCAGCCATCCTCTGCTTTAACCCCCCCCCCCACCCTGCACTCAGCCATCCTCTGCTTTAACCCCCCCCCCACCCTGCACTCAGCCATCCTCTGCTTTAACCCCCCACCCTGCACTCAGCCATCCTTTGCTTCCCCCCCCCCCCCCCACCCTGCACTCAGCCATCCTCTGCTTTAACCCCCCCCCACCCTGCACTCAGCCATCCTCTGCTTTAACCCCCCCCCCACCCTGCACTCAGCCATCCTCTGCTTTAACCCCCCACCCTGCACTCAGCCATCCTTTGCTTCCCCCCCCCCCACCCTGCACTCAGCCATCCTCTGCTTTAACCCCCCCCCCCCCACCCTGCACTCAGCCATCCTCTGCTTTAACCCCCCCCCACACCCTGCACTCAGCCATCCTCTGCTTTAACCCCCCCCCCCCCCACCCTGCACTCAGCCATCCTCTGCTTTAACCCCCCCCCAACCTGCACTCAGCCATCCTCTGCTTTAACCCCCCCCACCCTGCACTCAGCCATCCTCTGCTTTACCCCCCCCCCCCCCCCACCCTGCACTCAGCCATCCTCAGCTTTAAGCCCCCCCCCCCCTCCCTCGCCCCTGCACTCAGCCATCCATAGGTCCTTTCCTAATGTCAAACCCATCCATTACCCAGGGGCGGAACTACAGTGCCGCCAGACCCCGCAATGCGGGGGGCCCACGCCATTTAGGGGCCCAGAGCCGACCGTAATAAACAAATTTATAGTTTAAAAAAGTAAATTTTCTTTTATTTTTAACTTGATGGTTGTTTTGTAAAAAAATCCCGTAGCTGCGGTTGGATTATCTTTATTCTATAGACACCACCCCACGCTCTTGTATATTCCTTTTCCCTTTGTTTTTAAAAAACTACGAAAGCCGAGTCTTTCTCCTACAATTAAACTTAACAAAGATAAGCAAATGTTCAAACCACTCCCATGACTCCCTTTTTTTAAAAATAGTCAAATAGGGGTGATCATAAGCTCCTTTTAATAGATTTGTACAAAACAAATTAAAAACCAATTACTACTCTCAATTATTTTTTATAAGTAATTACTAAAGAATGACATACTATTAAAAGGAAATGTATTAAATCAATAATATTTAAAAAATTAATAATATAAATAAAAAAACAACATAAAAATAAACATAACACGAGACACCAGTACTTAAACAAAGCTTTTATGGTTTACATTATTTTGACCGACTAGATGTTAAGAGGGCATCTATCAAAAATTAATTAAAACTGATTTTATGCACATACACACATGACCTGATGTTGAAATTTTTTAAAATTTATGTTTTTCAAATCCCGAACAGGCCAGCAATGAGTATCCTATTTTTGTATTTTGTGATTATATATATATATATATATATATATATATATATATATATATATATATATATATATATATATATATATATATATATATATATATATATATATATATATTTCATATATAGGCCTATATATTTATATATATAGGGGGGGGGGCTAAAAAGTTATTTGCGGGGTGGCCCTTATTTTTTAGTTCCGCCACTGCCATTACCTGACGTTATTTTCTGTCTTATTTAAATTAGCCTTGTAATTTTCCTTGTGAAATTTTTTTCGCTAGACCTAACTCTCGTGTGCCATGTCCGTCCCAGTTGAATCTTTGTTTACACTCATGTTTTGGTTCAATGGAAACATTCTCTTCTAGGCCGTCTGTTTGGGATTATCAATTGGTTCCTTATTTACCACTTATACAGTGGCAACACAGGTCGTATTTTATAGAGTTGTGTTTTCTTAGCACCAACCACATTTAAATGTGATTTCACAAGTTGTGTTTTCTTAGCACCAACCACATTTACATGTGATTTCACAACTCACACAAAAATAAGCCAATGTGTTTTACCCAGACTGAAGCAGACGAAAAAAGCTGCCAAAGGAAAAGCCGACTGTGAACACAGACGGATCGTCAAGGCCGTGGAGAATTTCATGAAGGTCAGGGCTTGATGGGTCAATATTTGGTTTCAATTTTAGCTTTCATGATTAGAAATTATTTTTGTTTAGTTTAAGGTTTGTTTTTATGGTTATAAGTTTATTTAGTCTTGACTTAAAGAGTTCAACATATTGTTAATGCAAGATGTGAGGTTAGGGTGGCTCTATATAGTCCTTTTTGTATGAACCTACAAGAACCTACCTGACCATCCTGACACACATACACCCTCATTTGACTCACACATAACCACACACCCACACATACACTCCCCTCCAAGCCTACACTCACAAAGCTATTTTTATTAGGACATTACTTTTACAGCGCCATTTTCTTTAATCAGTAGTTCCATCAGCTTTAAACACAAACCCTAACCTTCATCATTACCACTACAGGCACTAAACAAGCACAATTTAGATGACAATGAATTTATTGATAAACACAAACTACAGGATGCACTTGAAGACGTAAGGAATTCTTTTATATTCTAATTAAATTTTAAAAATTGTTTTGTTTTATTAGTAACGTTATAATCTAGGAGACAGTAATGTTTTCTAGCAACACATTTGGCGATGTAGAGACATCGAAGTTCAGGAATTTCTTGAGAGAGCAATAGTAACTTTTTGTTGACTAATGACTAATACGGTCCAGCTAACGTGGTGTACGTACCTTTTTTTAAAATTTTTTTTTAAATATTTTTGTTCCGTCCATTTTGTATGTTTTGATGTATTATTTTTAAATTATCTTTAGCATAGGTTATGGTGGCCGTATATATATATATATATATATATATATATATATATATATATATATATATATATATATATATATATATATATATATATATATATATATAACATAATCATTTGTTTTTAGATAGAAAATAAAACATTTCAAATCATTTAGGTCCTCGTACAAAGTGTTTTGCAGATTTTATATTTTTATTATCATAATTTCAAAGCATACTTTATAAAAAAATACAACAACACCATATTCCCACATCCATACTCCATAAAAAAATCTGATAAAATTTCCAGACGAGGTTCCAGGGATTTGGGAGAAGAGACGTCCAGAATTTGGGCGATTTTTTATCCGCTCTGATGGACACGATGTTGACCAACCTCAAATATGTCTTTGTTAAGGTCTGATGTTGACTTTGTATTTGTTAATGTGATATTTAGCCTCTTGTATTGGTTAATCTGAGCTATAGCCATAAGCACTGGTTAATTTTAAGTGTAGCCCTTGTATTGGTTAATGTGAGGTATAGACATAAGCACTGGTTAATTTTAAGTGTAGCCCTTGTATTGGTTAATGTGAGGTATAGACATAAGCACTGGTTAATTTTAAGTGTAGCCCTTGTATTGGTTAATGTGAGGTATAGACATAAGTACTGGTTAATTTTAAGTGTAGCCCTTGTATTGGTTAAGATGAGGTATAGACATAAGTACTGGTTAATTTTAAGTGTAGCCCTTGTATTGGTTAATGTGAGGTATAGACATAAGCACTGGTTAATTTTAAGTGTAGCCCTTGTGTTGGTTAATGTGAGGTATAGACATAAGCACTGGTTAATTTTAAGTGTAGCTTTAGTTTAGGTTAAGGTAAAATGTAGCCCTTGTATTAGTTAAGGTCAGACATAGCCTGTTGTTTGGAGTGGATGAAGAGTAGATTTAGTTGGATGTAACGAGTGTTCTACTGCCATTTCTTGGAAGGCTTTCTTATGTTCTTCGTTGTTGATGAAAGAAAGAGTATAAATTATGTCATCAATCTGATTCTCAAAACTTTCGTTTAATTTCGATAATTAACGCATCTAATTCTCAAAATGTTTATATGTTTTTTTCCAAGTCATAAATCTAATTTGAAAAACGAAATTTTACGAACACGTTTGGCATATTTCAACACTTACAGGAATCTGATGACTTCAGGACAGTGGGCATCAACACAGGGCATATCGGAACTTCGGATTATGCCCTGGAAGAGGCAGATAAAGAGTTCCTGATTCAGGTATGAAAGTGTTTACAGAATGTTGTATACACTTGATAATGTCACTACAGTTCCACTCTTAAGACATACAAAGGCTGGCACTAATTATATGAACTTAATTATTCGCTTGACATCGTAAACTATTTCAGGGCTCAAGGAATACACATTTTAATAACTTGACTACTTCATATTATGTTATTGAGATTCGGTGTAACACAAAATATCTAAATAGGAAAAAAAAACAACGCGTTTAGTGAGTGCTGATCAAAATAGTTGCTCGAGAACAAGAATTAATTTATCTTTTAGATCCGTTTTGACAAATCCTTTAAACTAATAATAGGTGCTAGGAAAACGCCGGTGTTTTTGATTAATCTGTTCTACTATACTTCGAGGTGACGTCTAGGGCACACTCAAGAGTTGCTAGTGTATCGAACTATTGATTAGAGAGATTGTAAATGTATTGTTTTGTCTCTTGTTGACAGAGGGGCTACAACGCTACCAGGGCGTTCTTGAAGTATTACGTGGCTAAAGGCAGGGAGTGCCAGAGGAAAACCACAGGCCATCTTCTCAATGGGGGCCCTAACACGGACGTTACAGATGGGGGCCTAGGGCTAGACACTGGGGGCCCTCACACAGACGTTACAGATGGGGGCCTAGTGCTAGATACTGCTAGTGGGGGCCCTGCTAAAGACAACACTTCTAATGGGGCCTCACGATAGACAATGCTAGTGGGGGGGGGGGACCTGTAAAAGACATCGTTAGATTTGTGTACCCCACTAGACAGATGGCCCAGTGGGACTCTACATTGGATAGTGTTGTCAGTGGGGGATCCCACGTGACAGAAATATCATTCTGACATGTCAGTGTTACTGTCAGTCAGCTGACGTCCCATGAGGTAACAGAACGACACTTGTAACTCTCATATCTCAGTTGTAAATATATTGGGCACACTTTAAAGCTACAGAAACGTGTCTTATTGGCAAGTGTGTCAAATCATTTTTTTTCCGATTTTTAATTTCTTTTTAAAATCTCGCTTTTTTAAATGTTTAAATTTTAAAAATATATTTTAAATATTTATTTCATAAAACTAATATAAATTATTGCATTAAGGAAAATAACCCATAGATTTTTGTTTTCTGGGTAATCTAGGATAGGTTTGAAAAGCTGATTCCATATGGACATGGTTCGAAATTTTTTTTACCAGAAAGCATATTTTAAAACTAAAATTGGATACTTTACAACATGTGTGTAAAAAGTACAAAATTACTTCCGGTTTCATTATGGCTAGAAATAATTAAAAAAAAATTACTACTAATGTAATAGTAATTTAGCAAACACTTTTATTTTTTATTTGGATTATTAGAATCAAGGTGTGGTGGTGATAGGGGATGTTATTTTATTTAATATAAATAAACTACTAAGCTATAAAACCATTGAACGCTATTGTGTATTTTATCATTGAAAACAATTGTTGTTACTTTCATTGTTTTGCTTTCCCTGGCCATTCCGGTTGATTTCAAGGAGGGGTTGAGGTCGGTTTTTTAAATATTTGAATTATTTAAAATAATTCAAAACGCCTTTTCAACGGCTTATATTCAATACAAAAATATGAAAATGATAAGGTTCCCAAACAGCTTTAAGTTTTCAAAATGTAACTATAGTTTTATCGCTAGCCATATTTTTAAAAAGATTTTAAAAAAAAGAATTAGCATGATTTCATGGGGTTTTTAAGACTATTGTAGATTGTAAGGTCTGCTGGTATTTCGTTAATTATACATCTTTATTACTATCCCGAATTAAAATATACAAGGCGATTAAAATTTAAGAGTTAAGTGAATCTTTAATCTCAAGCGTATATGAATTGTTGTTACGTTGTTGTTGTGGAAAATACAAAATTGTGAAGCCAATGTAACAATAATGTATGTCACACCAGAAATATACCAAGTTTTGTATAACATCTATAATAATAGTTTCGCTGTCTGTCTATCTATCTATCTATCTGACAAGAACGCTCTAGAGAAAACACAAGGAAAATAAAAACATGCATAGTAATTCGAAAAACGAAGTATGACGACGACACATTTAGCACAGAGTAGAAAATAATCTCAAGCCGGATAGTGCACACATTAATATGACGTCATTGATTATCGAGTAAACATTCAATACAAAGCAATTTGGTCTAATCTAAGTGGTTTGCGTGAAGAGTTTCTTTAATACAATTCTTCGGGTAGGGGCGAAGCCCCACCCCCGCGTAAGAACGTCTGGTTTTAATTTAGACTTTTTCCTCCCCGGAGAGGGGTGGGGGTACTTGAAATTTTCGGTGGCGGGGGTAGAATTTTCGGGGAGGGGGCGGGCACTGGAAAAAGTATATAATTATATTTCGTTGAATGGGACGGTAAACATGTTTTTTTTTTTGGGGGTGGGGGGTGGGGGGTGGTGTGTGTGGGGGTGGGGTGGTTTTAGTTTAGACTTTTTCCTCCCCGGAGAGGGGTGGAGGTACTTGAAATTTTCGGTGGCGGGGGTAGAATTTTCGGGGAGGGGGCGGGCACTGGAAAAAGTATATAATTATATTTCGTTGAATGGGACGGTAGACATGTTTTTTTTTGGGGGGGGTGGGGGTGGGGTGGTGGTGTGTGTGTGTGTGGGGGGGGGGGGTGGGGTGGTTTTAGTTTAGAGAAAAGAGACAGCACTATCAGCCTAGCGCCCGTTGTATCCTTCCTCAACGGGCCATTTTTCTCGTAGATACATGTTTCTGTTGAATGTATTTGTACTGCTTGATAATCGTTTATCATGGACAAGGAACTTGTAAAATTATACGCGTAGATACAAGATGACTTGTAATGATAATACCATATTTAACTAGCTAATTGTTAAGAGAATGAATGTGTTATCACAAATTAAATGTGTTGTCACACCCCCCCCCCCCCCCCGCTTTAAATATAATGTCGTCAGCTGGCGAATGTTACTAGTGGGCTAGTGCAAATGAGAGGATTTTGTTTTCAGAAGAGCTCTAATTTCCAAGCTTACTGCAAAGTGCAAATACACCTGAACTCGAAACACTGACCATATACATATACATATACATATATATATATATATATATATATAATATATATATATATATATATATATATATTATATATATATATATATATATATATATATATATATATATATATATATATTGTAATGATATATATTGTAATGATATATATTGTAATGATATTTTTGTGCTTGAATGAAGGTATGTAGGTGTAGAATAGTATAGGAAAGTAAAATGTATAAGGTATTGGATGTAAAAACAAGTAATAGCCAACGATAAAATTACCTTCGAAGAGTGATAGTGTTGTACCAGCTACCTACGTGATCAGTTGTACCGTCTACCTGACCTCAACAAAACTACAAGGTACAACCAAAGACTGGCAGTAAAAATACTAATTATCATATTCCCATTATCTGACTAATTACTATAATCCAGGTATCTGATCGTGTGAGGCGCAAGCACAAAGACGTGCTACAAACAGGCCAGCTAACGTCTAGGCCCATAATTTTACTTACACTCCTATCTGAACTTGCACGATATTTTTTGTTTGATAAAAGAACTTCGTTATGTTCTTAAAGTGAGTCAAGTCGACCGTGTTGTGTGGAAACTTGAGAGATTTATTGTTTGATAAAAGAACTTTGTTATGTTCTTAAAGTGAGTCAAGTAGACAGTGTTGTATGGAAACTTGAGGGATTTATTGTTTGATAAAAGAACTTCGTTTTGTTCTAAAAGTGAGTCAAGTAGACAGTGT